ATTAATTTGTTGCCATGGGCAACTAATATCAGGAGTAAACATAAACACCGCGCAGAAGTGATGACTGTTCAGTGACATTAGCACCAGCATCGAGCAGCTGGGGCCGAAAGAGATCCACAGGAGACAGAAGGATGGCTGCGGGTGTGTGTGTTTGTGTGTGTTTGTGCGCATCAGTATGTATGAAGTGTTGCGCCTGCGATCACATGACTGTCAAATCATCCATTTCATGTCTCTGAATGACTCACTAATGATGATTAAATTGAAGCCCAAAGACAAAAACAACAGGCATTCATTCCAGTTTGTTCAGTGCAGCAAAAGCAAAGTTTTGATGGCGTCACACACACATGCATGCATAAAACGCACACACACACGTACACTGCCCTGCACACACCTAAATGTACACTCTCTCTCTCACGCACACACACACACACACACACGCAAACACACACGCGCACACACGCACACACACACGTCTTATCCACCACATTCAGGCTTGACTGCAGGACTAAAAGCAGCAGCATCAGCTGTGTTTGTCTCACACTAAATCTCTCTGTGCAGCTCTCTTACAGAAAACCACTTTGCATTGGAGAGTGAACAGAAGAAACAAACATCAAAGCAAAGAAATGCTGTCGCAGGTCAGAAATCTGACTGAGAGCTGTGGGCGTGTCTAGTGAAGGAGTGGGCGGTACCTGCATATGCAGTAGGAGGAGCCTATGGGAAGAGTTTAAAGAGCTAGACAGCAGCTCTAAGCTACAGTGGGTGTGGCCAGTTAGCAGAGTAGGTGGAGCATCTAGCAGCAGTGGGAGGAGTCTGTGAGATGAGCTTAACGAGCTTGGCAGCGGCTCTGAGCTCATAAAACAGCGCGTGAGTGTTCACAGTTCACACAATCCGCCTGCATTTACAACCACAGCAGGGGAACTCCATCTGCCCCACGGGAATGTGCTTTACTTCAATACAAACATCCACTGAAGGAACACACACTTTCCTATTTAGTAAACACACACACACACCTGGTTTGAGGAAAGTGGCTCAGTAAATCCCATAAGGTCTGTCCACTGGAGAACGAGTCCTGAAGACGAGAGCCGTCCTCCATCTGCAGCGCGATTCGCACCTGAAACACACACACACACACACACACACACACACACACACACACACACACACACACACACACACACACACACACACACACACACACACACACACAAACACACACAAACACACACAAACACACACACACACACACACACAGCTTTTATAAGAGCTCTCTAACATCACTTCTGAGAAATAACACAGATAAACAGAATGAATATGGAAGCTTGTTTCTGTAATAAGATATTAAAATAGGGTCTTTTTCATCTACAATGTTTTGTATTGTTTCTCTGAACATGGCGTTTAGGGTTCAGTAGAAGAAAACACTCATTAAATGTTATTTTAGATATTAAATGTTCATTATTTTGATCACTGTTTGGGGAAATCTTTCATTTTAAAGTCCCAATGACATGTACAGTGTTTATTTTGCGAGTACACATTGTCAGTCTTAAGGAGAACATTAAACCTGTGCAAATTAATCCACTGAAAGCCCACTGCTTCTGCTATGGAACAGTAGTCCATCTCTAAGTGAAATATGCAAAGCCACGCCCATATAATGTTAGTTAAAGAAGAGCTAAACAAATAAACCCCGCCCCTACTCAATATTCAGTTTCATAATCATACTGGAATACAAGACTGCAGCAAAGTTTCCAGCATCATTTCTTTACCAAAACTAGATCAAAGTCTTTAGATTATGATTTACAGGCATCATTAATCATTTAATTATCAATTTTACTGCTGAGGGTGACGCAGTGAGCAATGGGTAGCGCTTTCACTTCACAGCAAGAAGGTTGCTGGTTCAAGCCTTGGCTGGGGGTCAGTTGGTGTTTCTGTGTGGAGTTTGCATGTTCTCCTTGTGTTTGTGTGGGTTTCCTTCAGGTGCTCCAGTTTCCCAAACACATGCGCTATAGGGGAATTGATTAACTAAACTGACTGTCGTGTATGAGTGTGTGTGAATGTGTGTATATGGGTGTTTCCCAGTACTGGGTTGCTGCTGGAATGGCATCCGCTGTGTAAAACATATGCTGGATAAGTTGGCGGTTCATTCCACTGTGGAGACTCCAGATTAATAAAGGGACTATGCCGAAAAGAAAATGAATGAATGAATGAATGAAAGAGCTCTGCGGAGCACACAGACTTTTGACTGATAAACCTCTGAATACTTTAAAATATTGACAATGAACAATAGTAAATTGGACATATGTTCTTAATAATATGGCTGACAGACAGACACAGTCACCCCTCCAAAAAGGCCACAGAAATAGAAAAACAAATAAATCCCCATCATCAGGTTTACACACCGCACTCTCTGCAGCCGCCTGCTGGCGTGACCGCGACACCATCTCCAGCTTAGCATTGTTGGGCAGACCAGCGAAACGCCACTGCAGAGACAGATCTAGAACATTCCTCTGAAACCTGCAGACAAAGACACACACACACACACACACACACACACACACACACACACACACACACAATGAGCTTACTGCCACAGACACACACACACACACAATGAGCTGACTGCCACAGACACACACACACACACACACACACACACACACACAATGAGCTGACTGCCATAGACACACACACACACACACACACACACACACACTAACACACACACTAACACATAGACAGACAGACGGACGGATGGATGGATGACAGACAGACAGACAGACAGACAGACAGACAGACAGACAGACAGACAGACAGACAGACAGATAGATAGATAGATAGATAGATAGATAGATAGATAGATAGATAGATAGATAGATAGATAGATAGATAGATAGATAGATAGATAGATAGATGGACAGATATAGAGACAGACAGGTAGACGGATAGACAGACGGATGGATGGACGGATGGATGGATGGATGGATGGATGGATGGATAGATGATGGATGGTTGGACAGATAAAGAGACAGACAGGCAGACAGATAGACGGATAGACAGACGGATGGACGGATGAATGAATAGATAGATAGATAGATAGATATATAGATAGATAGATAGATAGATAGATAGATAGATAGATAGATAGATAGATAGACAGACAGACAAATCTAGTAGGATTTCACAAACTGCACAGCCTCCTGATATTCGGAGATTTAATTCAGGCAAACTTTAGCACACAACCATAAACTGCATAATCAAAAATAAAAAAATAATAAACCTTGCAAACGAGCTTTTATGACTTTTTAATACTTTTTAAGACCCTGTGGACACTCTGTTAATAACCACTGCTATTGTGTGGACTAAAAATGAAAATAAATGTCTGCAGGTATGGCTATTCTTGTAATATTATGCAAAAAAGCTCTAATGATAACATGTTTATCTTTAATTTGAAAAAACATACTATTTCCAGACAATATAGGGAAAACATTCACTCAAACATATCATCAAAGCAAACCATAAACACAGAGAAATAGTGAATCTTCAGGATAAACTCACTTGAGCCCATGCTCTTCAGGATTAAACCCGTGTTTCTTACACACATCGTCAAGAACCTAGAGAATAAAAACAGTATATAAACACAGTACACATAACAGAATATGTACATGATAATAATCTGATTCAACTCACTATTAAACATTTAACTAATCCAAAAAACAAATATTAAATCAGTTAATCTAGCAGATCCCTAAAGCATCTGTGTGTTTATCATCACTAATGTCATCCTAAAACACACCTCAGCCCTATCTAGTGCACTAGATAGGCAGCTCAATAACATAAGAACTAAACACCATCCCCAAAACTGATGACTATGACACTGGCACAGCTCAAATCTGCACACACAGGCTGCTTTTGTTGTTTGGACACTGTCTAGTGCACTAGGTGGGCATCATACCAATTCAGAAAGCGCGAATGAAACCCAAAACTGCAGCTCACACTTATGTCTCACAAAACGTACTCTAGATAGTCAGCTATCAACATAGGTGACACTGAAAACGCAGTTGTTGCCTTAAAATGCTGTCTATATAGAGAAGTGTGCAGTAGAGCTGAGTCAGGACGCGTCCACACACACAGCGCGTATATACACACAGATACACTCACGGAAAGAGCTGTCGATTAGACTAGTGGTGAACGCGAGTGTGTAAGAGCTGTACCTGCAGCAAAGGAGTGTTTGCAGACACTTTGACAGTCTGTCTTCTGCCATTAGGAGTTAAAACTGACACAGCCGAAGCGCTCGCCGCCATGACACCGTGACGTCACGATGTTTGTTTGACAAAACTTTATTCGCGGCTCCGCCTCGACAACAGCGTCACGGACTGGATGTTTGATAGATAGACAGACAGACATGCAGACAGATAGACAGACAGACAGATAGACATGCAGACAGACAGACAGATAGACATGCAGACAGACAGACAGACAGATAGACAGACCTATGAGACAAATAGATAGATAGGTAGATAGATAGATAGATAAATAGATAGATAGATAGATAGATAGATAGATAGATAGATAGATAGATAGATAGATAGATAGATAGATAGATAGATAGATAGATAGATAGAAAGATAGATAGATAGACTGACAGACAGACAGACAGACCGATAGATAGATAGATAGATAGATAGATAGATAGATAGATAGATAGATAGATAGATAGATAGATAGATAGATAGATAGATAGATAGAAAGATAGATGGATGGATGGATGGATGGATGGATGGATGGATGGACGAATGGAAGGATGGATGGATGAACAGACAGACAGACAGATAGATAGATGGACAGACAGACAGATGGATGGATGGATGGATGGATGGACGGACGGACGAACAGACAGACAGATAGATAGATGGACTAGATGGACAGACAGACAGACGGATAGATGGATGGATGGATGGATGGACGGGCGGGCGCACGGACGGAAGAATGGATAGATGGATGGTCGGATAGATAGAAATAGACAGACAGACCAATAGACCGATAGATAGATAGACAGACAGACAGACAAACAGATAGATAGATAGATAGATAGATAGATAGATAGATAGATAGATAGATAGAGATAGATAGATAGATAGATAGATAGATAGATAGATAGATAGATAGATAGATAGATAGATAGATAGAGATAGATAGATAGATAGATGGATGGACGGACGAATGGATGGACGGACGGACGAACAGACAGACAGATAGATAGATGGACAGACAGACGGATAGATGGATGGATGGACGGACTGACGGAAGGACAGAATGACAGACAGATGGATGGATGGATGGGCGGACGGATGGATAGATGGATGGATGGATGGATGGATGGATGGACGGACAGACGAATGGACGGACGAACAGACAGACAGATAGATGGACAGACAGACGGATGGATGGATGGATATACGGACGGATGGATGAATGGATGGACGGACGAACAGACAGATAGATAGATGGACAGACAGACAGATAGATAGATGGACAGACAGACAGATAGATAGATGGACAGACAGACGAATGGATGGATGGATGGACGGACGGACAGACAGACAGACAGATAGATGGACAGACAGACAGATAGACGGATGGATGGACGGACTGACGGACGGACAGACAGACAGATAGATAGATGGACAGACAGACGAATGGATGGATGGATGGACGGACAGACAGACAGATAGATAGATAGATAGATAGATGACATAAAACTGGCACACCAGGCACTGCAATACATCATGTTGGCCAAACATGGCTTGGGTTTGGGAGAGGTGGCTCTGTTTTTAAGGCAGCACACATGACTTGGGCCAGATGTCACATGTCGTATTTGGCCCAGATGTTAAAAATTGATATGTGAGCCACATAAGTTTGGCCCACCTTGACCCACATTGAAATTATTTTTGCATAAAAAAAAAAATTCTACCAATCAGGTTCCTTCGAGAAATAGCACACTCCTTGCACACGTAAAGCGCAATGCTTTATGGGTTAAACAATTTAATATCAGTCATGACACACCAACATATCTGGCCCCGTTCAGCCACAGTTATATAGGTTATCAACTTGGCTGAGACTTGGCCCAGATCTGGTCCATGATTGGCTCTTGTCTAGAAGCCAGACTTGGCCCAGTCATGTACTGTAATTCACTGCGGCATGTGGGCAAAAGCAAAAAGTTGATTGTTTGGGCCAGAGCAATGTTGCTCCAGGGATATGACATTATGCAGCAATGCCGCAATCATTTCGGCGCTGGGTCTATTTTAGCCGCTGACCAAAAACACATTGAATGACAGTAAAAATTAGCAAATTTTACCTAATAAATGTATCGAAGAGATCCTCTGACTTTTATCCTAGATCACGACCCGGCTGGAAGACAGTGGCAGGAAATATCAGCCTGACCCAGGTCAAGTTTGGGCTTGGGCTCAGGCAGAGAATCTAAACCCTTTCTCAGTGGCAGACCTGTAATAAAAACACAACGCTATTGGCTGATTTTATTAAAAGGGGTGGAGCAGCTCTATGCCCCGCCCTCTCTTCATGTTTCAGTTGAGATTACGTCAAACATCCAATAAAATGCCAATTTTAAAGCACTTCAGGTGCCCCTAAAAATAGTATTAAAATAAAAACTAATGTGGAAATGCTAAACTGTAACACGCTGGTACTGATGAAGCTCTGGATCCCTCATTCCTGTGATGTTCGTGGCTCTGGGGCCGCCGGTTGATGTCGCCTGCATCTGCCAGTAATTTAAGCCCATGTTGTTCCTCTTAGCGCAGGGCTGGTGGAGCAGGAGGTGTGTGCGTGCGTGTGTGTGACGGATCCTCTGGAGGTGTGGGACGCCTGGCATCTCTTTGAAGAGCCCAGGAATGAATTCCTCCGGCCGGGTGTGAGCCGCTGTCACGAGCTGCATCTGCTGCCTGTTTATCTGTGCCACCGCAGACACTCCAGAGAAAGTAGACCTCAAAAATAAGTAAATGTTATACATATTCTGTTGAAGCCAAAGGAGGATAATTTGAAGAATGTTGGGGAAAAAACACCCATTGACTTCCAAAGTATTTTACATTCCTGATATGGTCGTCTGGCATTCTTCAATATATCTTCTATTGCAGGGGAGTCCAAACTCGGTCCTGGAGGGCCGGTGTCCTGCTGAGTTTAGCTCCAACTTGCTTCAACACACCTGCCAGGAAGTTTCTAGTATATCTAGTAAGAGCTTAATTAGCTGGTTCAGGGGTGTTTGATTAGGGTTGGAGCTAAACTCTCCAGGATACCGACCCTCCAGGAGTTTGGACACCCCGGTTCTATTGTGGTCAACAAAAGAAACAGAGTTTTTTGGGGTGATCTGTCCCTTTAAATACTTTATCTAAGTGTCAATCTAATATGTACAACACAAATACACAATATAACACAGAGAAATAATGACTTTAAATCTGGGCAAAGTTCAACAGATGTTTACACACACACACACACACACACACACTCTGGAGATCAAAGGGACAAGTGTCAGATGGCCACGCCCCTCTCTGACCAGCCCTCTCTGCTAAGTGGCTGTCAGAACAGAGCCCCGCCCCCCTACAGCACAACATTTGCATCCTAAAATGACTGATTTTGTGACTGATTTTAGCTTTTCTCTAAACCTTCGCCAACATTTGCTTCAAGTCTTCTGTTTTCCAGCAATAAAAGAGTTTTTTAGAGTGATCTGTCCTTTTAAATACTACATGTAAGTGTCAATCTAATGTGTGCAACACAAAGTACACAGTATAACACAGAGAAATAATGGCTTTAAATCTGTGCAAAGTTCAACAGATGTTCACACACACACACACTCTGGAGATCAAAGGGACAAGAGTGTCACATGGCCACGCCTCCTCCTGCTGAGTGGCTGTCAGAACCGAGCTCCTCCTTACCCCTCCAGCACTGTCAGCTGATTGGTCTGTGATGAAGTATAAAGGCGTGCAGTGTTGAGTGGAGGAGGGTCAGAGTGAGACGCACACACACACTCACACACACTAAGGATGAGGAGCTGCTGTGTGAGATGAGGCGGGTTCTGCTGCTGCTGCTGGTGGTGTTGGTGGAGGGCCGCAGGGTCCGGGACCAGCACACACACACGCCGGAGAGTTTTCCTCTGGACTTCACAGCGGTGGAGGGGAACGTGGAGGGCTTCATGGCGCAGGTGAAGAGCCTGGCGCAGTCGCTGTACCCCTGCTCCTCTCAGAGGCTGGAGCACCAGATGAAGCTGCAGATCCTCAAGAACTCCTCTGTCACCTGTAATGACGGAACACCTGCGGGGTGAGTGACCGAGTCTCTCTGGAGATCATGTGTCGTGTAGTGGTGGAACTTGAAGTTGAAGGTGGAGGCTGAAGGTTCGAACTTCACTCCATTCATCATCCATCACTGAATCACTGTAGGAGAGAAGACACAGTGGTGTCAATTTATATATATATATATATCTGTTGTGGTGATTCTACAGTTGCTATGGTGATGCATCATCTATAGTGATTGATCTGCTGTGGTGATTCTACAGTTGCTATGGTGATGCATCATCTATAGTGATTGATCTGTTGTGCTGATTCTACAGTTGCTATGGTGATGCATCATCTATAGTGATTGATCTGTTGTGGTGATTCTACAGTTGCTATGGTGATGCATCATCTATAGTGATTGATCTGCTGTTGTGATTCTACAGTTGCTATGGTGATGCATCATCTATAGTGATTGATCTGTTGTGATGATTCTACAGTTGCTATGGTGATGCATCATCTATAGTGTTTGATCTGCTGTTGTGATTCTACAGTTGTTATGGTGATACATCATCTATAGTGATTGATCTGTTGTGGTGATTCTACAGTTGCTATGGTGATGCATCATCTATAGTGTTTGATCTGCTGTTGTGATTCTACAGTTGTTATGGTGATACATCATCTATAGTGATTGATCTGTTGTGGGGATTCTACAGTTGCTATGGTGATGCATCATCTATAGTGATTGATCTGCTGTTGTGATTCTACAGTTGTTATGGTGATATATCATCTATAGTGATTGATCTGTTGTGGTGATTCTACAGTTGCTATGGTGATACATCAGCTATAGTGATTGATCTGTTGTGGTGATTCTACAGTTGCTATGGTGATACATCAGCTATAGTGATTGATCTGTTGTGGTGATTCTACAGTTGCTATGGTGATACATCATCTATAGTGATTGATCTGTTGTGGTGATTCTACAGTTGCTATGGTGATACATCATCTATAGTGATTGATCTGTTGTGGTGATTCTACAGTTGCTATGGTGATGCATCATCTATAGTGATTGATCTGTTGTGGTGATTCTACAGTTGCTATGGTGATGCATCAACTATAGTGATTGATCTGTTGTGGTGATTCTACAGTTGCTATGGTGATGTTCTTTTTGCTCATTCTTTCTTGTTATTCTCATGTTATACTACTTTAGATTTAATTCATATTTCTGTTTTATTTGTGTTTTATACACATTAAACTGCTTTGTAGCAACTGCTATAATTTTTTTTAAACAATATAAATAAACTTTAATTCCATAAAACCTAATTAACTATTCAGATGCAGAAATTTCCATCAGATGTTGCGCTGTTACTCATATGTTCACCACTGAGTCAGTCTTTAAAGATGTGGTTGAGCTCTAGTGATGCTTTTAAAAATATTTGCCTGACATTCCAAGCGTGTTTGTGTTCCTCCCACAGCTTCTGACAGCACATTAACAGAGAGATCACGCTCTACTCCACTGATTCATTTACTGCACTTTATGTCCACAGCACATTTCACTGATCTCCAGAGGATCATGTGACACTGAAGACTGAAAATTCAGCTTTACATCAATATATATTATATACAATATAGACATTACAGTGTATTATATATTCACTTTAAAAGTGGAAGCTGATGTCGATTTAATATTAGCAGTTTAATATGAGATGACTGTTAAAGTCAGCCTCTGAGTTTCTGATGAAGAGAGAAGCAGGTCTCACATCCTCAGAGAGACGAAACACATCAAAGAGATTCCAGAACACAGACACTGATCTTTATATGAGTGCAGCTCTGAGCCGCATCTGACACGCACACACACACGCACGCACGCACGCACACACGCACGCACACACACACACACACACACACACACACACACACTCCCCACAATGTAAGGAATTTAAGATATACACACATAAACAAGTTCATACACAAACACACACCCACACATTTATATACATACACACACACACACACACACAAACTCATACACAAACATATATAGATGCAGAAACATACACACACACACACATACACACACACACACACACACACACACACACACACACACACACACACACACACCCCCCCACACACACGCACACACACACAC